TGAAGAACCAGTGGCATCTACATCTGCAGAACGTGAAGAACCAGTGGCATCTACATCTGCAGAACGTGAAGAACCAGTGGCATCTACATCTGCAGAACGTGAAGAACCAGTGGCATCTACATCTGCAGAACGTGAAGAACCAGTGGCATCTACATCTGCAGAACGTGAAGAACCAGTGGCATCTACATCTGCAGAACGTGAAGAACCAGTGGCATCTACATCTGCAGAACGTGAAGAACCAGTGGCATCTACATCTGCAGAACGTGAAGAACCAGTGGCATCTACATCTGCAGAACGTGAAGAACCAGTGGCATCTACATCTGCAGAACGTGAAGAACCAGTGGCATCTACATCTGCAGAACGTGAAGAACCAGTGGCATCTACATCTGCAGAACGTGAAGAACCAGTGGCATCTACATCTGCAGAACGTGAAGAACCAGTGGCATCTACATCTGCAGAACGTGAAGAACCAGTGTCATCTGACATTCTGCAGAACGTGAAGAACCAGTGGCATCTACATCTGCAGAACGTGTAAGACCAGTGGCCTCTGCAATATGCAGAACTTGAAGAAACCAGTGGCATCTACATCTGCAGAACGTGAAGAACCAGTGGCATCTACATCTGCAGAACGTGAAGAACCGTGGCATCTACATCTGCAGAACGTGAAGAACCAGTGGCATCTACATCTGCAGAACGTGAAGAACCAGTGGCATCTACATCTGCAGAACGTGAATAACCGGGGCATCTACATCTGCAGAACGTGAAGAACCAGTGGCATCTACATCTGCAGAACGTGAAGAACCAGTGGCATCTACATCTGCATAACGTGAAGAACCAGTGTCATCTGCATCTGCAGAACGTGAAGAACCAGTGGCATCTACATCTCAGAACGTGAAGAAACAGTGTCATCTACATCTGCAGAACGTGAAGAACAGGGCATCTCATTACTAGAAACGTGAAAAACCAGTGGCACTGCATCTGCAGAACGATGAAGAACCAGTGGGCATCTACATCTGCAGAACGTGAAGAACCAGTGGCATCTGCATCTGCCGAACGTGAAGAACCAGTGGCATCTACATCTGCAGAACGTGAAGAACCAGTGGCATCTACATCTGCAGAACGTGAAGAACCAGTGTCATCTACATCTGCAGAACGTGAAGAACCAGTGGCATCTACATCTGCAGAACTGTGAAGAACCAGTGGCATCTACATCTGCAGAACGTGAAGAACCAGTGGCATCTACATCTGCAGAACGTGAAGAACCAGTGGCATCTACATCTGCAGAACGTGAAGAACCAGTGGCATCTACATCTGCAGAACGTGAAGAACCAGTGGCATCTACATCTGCAGAACGTGAAGAACCAGTGGCATCTACATCTGCAGAACGTGAAGAACCAGTGGCATCTACATCTGCAGAACGTGAAGAACCAGTGGCATCTACATCTGCAGAACGTGAAGAACCAGTGGCATCTACATCTGCAGAACGTGAAGAACCAGTGGCATCTACATCTGCAGAACGTGAAGAACCAGTGGCATCTACATCTGCAGAACGTGAAGAACCAGTGGCATCTACATCTGCAGAACGTGAAGAACCAGTGGCATCTACATCTGCAGAACGTGAAGAACCAGTGGCATCTACATCTGCAGAACGTGAAGAACCAGTGGCATCTACATCTGCAGAACGTGAAAACCAGTGGCATCTACATCTGCAGAACGTGAAGAACCAGTGGCATCTACATCTGCAGAACGTGAAGAACCAGTGGCATCTGCATCTGCAGAACGTGAAGAACCAGTGGCATCTGCATCTGCAGAACGTGAAGAACCAGTGGCATCTACATCTGCAGAACGTGAAGAACCAGTGGCATCTACATTCTGCAGAACGTTGAGAACCAGTGGGCATCTACATCTGCAGAACGTGAAGAACCAGTGGCATCTACATCTGCAGAACGTGAAGAACCAGTGGCATCTACATCTGCAGAACGTGAAGAACCAGTGTCATCTACATCTGCAGAACGTGAAGAACCAGTGGCATCTACATCTGCAGAACGTGAAGAACCAGTGGCATCTACATCTGCAGAACGTGAAGAACCAGTGGCATCTACATCTGCAGAACGTGAAGAACCAGTGGCATCTACATCTGCAGAACGTGAAGAACAGTGGCATCTACATCTGCAGAACGTGAAGAACCAGTGGGCATCTACATCTGGCAGAACGTGAAGAACCAGTGGCATCTACATCTGCAGAACGTGAAGAACCAGTGGCATCTACATCTGAGAACGTGAAGAACCAGTGGCATCTACATCTGCAGAACGTGAAGAAACCAGTGGCATCTACATCTGCAGAACGTGAAGAACCAGTGGCATCTACATCTGCAGAACGTGAAGAACCAGTGGCATCTACATCTGCAGACGTGAAGAACCAGTGGCATCTACATCTGCAGAACGTGAAGAACCAGTGGCATCTACATCTGCAGAACGTGAAGAACCAGTGGCATCTACATCTGCAGAACGTGAAGAAACCAGTGGCATCTACATCTGCAGAACGTGAAGAACCAGTGGCATCTACATCTGCAGAACGTGAAGAACCAGTGGCATCTACATCTGCAGAACGTGAAGAACCAGTGGCATCTACATCTGCAGAACGTGAAGAACCAGTGGCATCTACATCTGCAGAACGTGAAGAACCAGTGGCATCTACATCTGCAGAACGTGAAGAACCAGTGGCATCTACATCTGCAGAACGTGAAGAACCAGTGGCATCTACATCTGCAGAACGTGAAGAAACCCGTGGCATCTACATCTGCAGAACGTGAAGAACCAGTGGCATCTACATCTGCAGAACGTGAAGAACCAGTGGCATCTACATCTGCAGAACGTGAAGAACCAGTGGCATCTACATCTGCAGAACGTGAAGAACCAGTGGCATCTACATCTGCAGAACGTGAAAAACCAGTGGCATCTACATCTGCAGAACGTGAAGAACCAGTGGCATCTACATCTGCAGAACGTGAAGAACCAGTGGCATCTACATCTGCAGAACGTGAAGAACCAGTGGCATCTACATCTGCAGAACGTGAAGAACCAGTGGCATCTACATCTGCAGAACGTGAAGAACCAGTGGCAATCTACATCTGCAGAACGTGAAGAACCAGTGGCATCTACATCTGCAGAACGTGAAGAACCAGTGGCATCTACATCTGCAGAACGTGAAGAACCAGTGGCATCTACATCTGCAGAACGTGAAGAACCAGTGGCATCTACATCTGCAGAACGTGAAGAACCAGTGGCATCTACATCTGCAGAACGTGAGAACCAGTGGCATCTACATCTACAGAACGTGAAGAACCAGTGGCATCTACATCTGCAGAACGTGAAGAACCAGTGGCATCTACATCTGCAGAACGTGAAGAACCAGTGGCATTCTACATCTGCAGAACGTGAAGAACCAGTGGCATCTACATCTGCAGAACGTGAAGAACCAGTGGCATCTACATCTGCAGAACGTGAAGAACCAGTGGCATCTACATCTGCAGAACGTGAAGAACCAGTGGCATCTACATCTGCAGAACGTGAAGAACCAGTGGCATCTACATCTGCAGAACGTGAAGAACCAGTGGCATCTACATCTGCAGAACGTGAAGAACCAGTGGCATCTACATCTGCAGAACGTGAAGAACCAGTGGCATCTACATCTGCAGAACGTGAAGAACCAGTGGCATCTACATCTGCAGAACGTGAAGAACCAGTGGCATCTACATCTGCAGAACGTGAAGAACCAGTGGCATCTACATCTGCAGAACGTGAAAAACCAGTGGCATCTACATCTGCAGAACGTGAAAAACCAGTGGCATCTACATCTGCAGAACGTGAAGAACCAGTGGCATCTACCATCTGCCAGAACGTGAAGAACCAGTGGCATCTACATCTGCAGAACGTGAAGAACCAGTGGCATCTACATCTGCAGAACGTGAAGAACCAGTGGCATCTACATCTGCAGAACGTGAAGAACCAGTGGCATCTACATCTGCAGAACGTGAAGAACCAGTGGCATCTACATCTGCAGAACGTGAAGGAACCAGTGGCATCTACATCTGCAGAACGTGAAGAACCAGTGGCATCTACATCTGCAGAACGTGAAGAACCAGTGGCATCTACATCTGCAGAATATGAAGAACCAGTGGAATCTACATCTGCAGAACGTGAGAACCAGTGGCATCTACATCTGCAGAAACGTGAAGAACCAGTGGCATCTACATCTGCAGAATGTGAAGACCAGTGGCATCTACATCTGCAGAACGTGGAAGAACCAGTGGCATCTACATCTGCAGAACGTGAAGAACCAGTGACATCTACATCTGCAGCACGTGAGAACCAGGGCATCTACATCTGTAGAACGTGAAGAACCAGTGGCATCTACATCTGCAGAACGTGAAGAACCAGTGGCATCTACATCTGCAGAACGTGAAGAACCAGTGGCATCTACATCTGCAGAACGTGAAGAACCAGTGGCATCTACATCTGCAGAACGTGAAGAACCAGTGGCATCTACATCTGCAGAATGTGAAGAACCAGTGGCATCTACATCTACAGAAGATGAAGAACCAGTGGCATCTACATCTGCAGAATGTTAAGAACCAGTGTCATCTGGGCCACAAACAGAAGCCTGCCTCTGTCGTAGGCCAATCAGTTTCAAAGACAATGAATACAATATTATTATTATCATCATACATTGAATATCATATTATTATCAGAGCGTGTTTGTTTGAAAAATGTACCACAAATACTACTGTGTGTGGTGAATGCAGACTTAATGATTTGGCAACACTGGGTGTCTATTTGGTGTTTGAACGTCTTAACACAACTCCCGTTTCATTGCCGGAAAGAATGGTGGTGGTGGTGGTGATGATGGTGATGATGGCGATGACATTAATGACGGTGGGAATCATGACGACGACGATGTTGACGATGACGACGACGACGATGAAGACGACCTACCTCTGAACCATTCCTTCAGCTGCGGGTAGCGGTCCTTCAGTGCAAACAGCGCGTTAATGAGCACCAGACACTCGTTCCTGTCGATGAAATCTTCGATAAGGAAGTTGGCTCTCTGCGCCTTCACATCGATGTCGCGAGCCTCCAGATACTTGTCACGAGGGATCAGATCGTTGCTGTCCAGATGATCCATCAGGTAGGTTGGGTCACGGCCGATCCACTGTTTTAGCAGCGGTCTCTTGCTCCTGATCAGCTTGGAGGCGCCAGCTTCGTCCATAGCCTCCTCCTCCTTCCTAGTTCCTACTTCCCCCTTGCTCCGGCCTCAGATCCTCACGTCAGCGGCCCGAGAATCGATCCTGGGGAAATGCACGCACACGACGGAAAAAACAGCGGCGAGTTGTAGAGGTCACTGATCGGTGGTTGTGGTAGTAATAGTCTTGATATGGTTCAGTGTGTGTCTGTATGTGTGTGTGTCTTGGTCATGATGCTGGCACCTGGTCTGGAGTGATTGGAAGGCATGGGCCAGATCAGCTCAATAATAACGGTAGGAGGCTGCTAGATTTTTGTGCAGCCCATGGGCTTGTAATTACCAACACGCTCTTCCGGCATCGGCGCATCCACACAACATCATGGATGCATGCCGGGTCCAAGCAAGAACATCTGCTGGACTACATAGTGACGGACCAGCGGATGCGAGCCCATGTCCTTGACACCAGGACCTACCGTGGAGCTGATCTGCCCTCTGACCATCGACTAGTCATCTGTAAGATGCGCCTGCCATTCTTCCAATCCTGGGGTGGGTGTACACCCAGGATCCCATTCAAACCTAAGGTGGACTGGTCTCAGCTAGCTGATGGAAGTTGCAAGCGAGAATTTCATCATCACTTGCAGCTGGGGTTGGCATCGTCCCCCACTCCTCCTGATGTCAAGGGTAAATGGGCGAGGTTTAGGACTGTGGCTCATGCAGCTGCAATGGCTGCTTATGTGTACACGGTCCAGACCTCCCCAGAAACCCTGGCTGACAGAGGAGGTGTTCAGGTTAGTTGAGAAAAGCGACAGGCCCACTCTCATCAGCTACAGCATCCCACGTCAGAGAATGAGGAGGTTTAGCGAAGCCTTCGCTCGGAGGCTCGGAGAGCCGTGAGGTGCTGCAAGGATGGGTGGTGGTCGCGGGTTGCTGAGGAGATGGAGTCTGCCTCAGTGGCCCGCGATCACAAATCGCTCTTTTATTCAATCAAAAAAGTAACCTGCAGCGCCACACCTATTACCATCATTAGGGGAAAGAACGGTGATCCAATCTCCGACCCCCAGGAGCAGGTTTGCAGATTTGCTGAGCATTTCTGTGAGGTCCTGCGAGAGGGGAAATCCCTCAGCCTGGAAAACATCTTGGGACAAAGTGGGAATGACCTTGCTGAGGCTGCGGTGCCTCAAAAATTGGAAGAAGAACTCACCCCCTGTGAGTAGCTGGCTGAGGCGCCATCTGTTGAGGAAGTACTGAAGGCGATCCAGAGTCTGAGACCAGGAAAGGCACCAGGCAGAGATGATTTCCCAAGCCAAATGCTGAGGGAGGGTGGCGTTTGTGCACAGACTGCCCTACATGATATCATAACAACAGTCTGGACCACTGGACGGGTGCCGCAGGATTGGAAGGATGCCCTGGTGTTCCCCCTCTTTAAGAAGGGGGACCGCACAGACTGTAACAACTACAGGGGCATCTCACTCCTCAGTGTGCCGGGAAAGGTCCTGGCAAGGATTATTCAACATCGCCTTGCCAGGCACGCTGAGGAGAGGCTTGCGGAACCCCAATGCGGTTTTAGGAAAAGCGGTCCTGCACAGATGCCATATTTTCTGTCCGTCTGCTACAGCAGAGGTGTATCAATGATCTGGTAATTGCTGTTCACTCAGAGGAGGAGTTCAAGGCGCTGCTGCAGAACCTGGAGCTTGCCACTAAGAGTTGGGGCCTTACCATCAGCCCCACCAAAACGAAGCACCTGCCTGGGTATTTTGTACCATGGGACACTCCACCCCCACAATTCCCAATCGGTGATGGGCCAGTTGTGGAGAGAGTGGAGAGTTTCCCATACCTGGGCAGTGTGCTTATGACCGGCTCCAGTTTAACAGCAGAGGTCTCACTCCGAATCAGTCGAGCGGCAATATTTTTCATCGGTTGCGTAACGCTGTGTGGAAGCTACCTGGTCTGTTGCTCCGCACGAAGCTTCAGGTCTTCTCGGCCACGGTCATTAAGTCCATTCTCTATGCTTGCGAAACGTGGACCCCCCTAATGGGACATCTTCGCCGGTTAGAAACATTTAGGCTGGCCTGCCTACGATCCATTCTGGGTTTAACCAGGCTGGATTGTGTGAGGAGCTCACAAATCCTTGAAAGATCTGGGCAAAGTCCCATCGGTGAGCTCCTCCGGCGGGCAAGGCTGCGTTGGCTGGGTCATGTAGCCCGCATGCCCAGCCACCGCATGCCTAAACAGCTTTTGTTCGGCCGGATCGAGGGGTCTAAACGGGCGCGGCACGGGCTGGAGAAGAGATGGAGTGATGTGGTACAGGAGGACGTGGAGCTGAGTGGACTTGCCGATGACTGGTACCAGCGGTGTCAAGATCGGCCTCTGTGGAGGAGGCTCGTGAAGGACGCTACTGGGCAGTTGGAGGCAGTCGCCCTCCAACAACAACGGAGGGCGGAGGAGCGACGCTCACAACAACGAGCGGAGCGCCGGGTGGCTAAAGCACAGCAAGTTGGCACAGTAGGGGGCACAGGTGGTGCATCAGCCAGTCATCTCGGTCATCTCGGTCAGTCGACCCGTGGCACCTGCTGGGTCTGACCCGTGACCTCCTGCCAGCGGGCGTTCGACACTTCACGTGGCCTCAAGGTGCACTTGGCCTGGCACAAGCGTCGTGGTGACGTCACCGCCACTTAGTGGCGAATGGCGGTTGTTGTTGTGTATGTCTGTGTGTGTATGTGTCCGTGTATGTTTGTCTATATGTGTGTTGGTTTGTGTGTTTATGTGTCTGTCTGTGTGTGTCTGTGTGTGTGTCTGTGTGTGTGTGTGTCTGTGTGTGTGTCTGTGTGGTCTGTGTGTGTCTGTGTGTGCGTCTGTGTCTGTGTGTGTGTCTGTGTGTGTGCTGTGTGTGTCTGTTGTTATGTGTCTGTGTGTTTATGTGTCTGTGTGTTTATGTGTCTGTGTGTGTCTGTGTGTCTGTGTGTGTGTCTGTGTGTGTGTCTGTGTGTGTGTCTGTGTGTGTGTCTGTGTGTGTGTCTGTGTCTGTGTGTGTGTCCTGTGTGTGGTCTGTGTGTTGGTGTTCTGTGTGTGTGTCTGTGTGTCGGTGTGTGTCTGGGTGTGTCTGTGTGTGTGTGTCTGTGTGTGTCTGTGTGTCTGTGTGTCGTGTGTTGTGTCTGTGTGTGCGTCGGTGTGTCTGTGTGTGTGTCTGTGTGTGTTGTCTGTGTGTGTCTGTGTGTTTATGTGGCTGTGTGTTTATGTGTCTGTGTGTGTCTGTGTGTGTGTCTGTGTGTCTGTGTGTGTGTCTGTGGTTGGTTGTGTTGTGTCTGTGTGTGTGTCTGTTGTGTGTCTGTGTGTCTGTGTGGGTGTCTGTGTGTGTGTCTGTGTGTGTGTGTGTCTGTGTGTGTGTCGTGTCTGTGTGTGTGTCTGTGTGGTGGCTGTTGTGTGTGTGTCTGTGTGTGTGTCTGTGTGCTGGTGTGTGTGGTGTCTGTGTGTCGTGTGTGTGTGTGTGTGTTCTGTGTGTCTGTGTGTCTGTGTGTGCGTCTGTGTCTGTGTGTGTCTGTGTGTTTATGTGTCTGTGTGTTTATGTGTCTGTGTGTGTCTGTGTGTGTGTGTCTGTGTGTGTGTCTGTGTGTCTGTGTGTGTGTCTGTGTGTGTGTCTGTGTGTGTGTCTGTGTGTGTCTGTGTGTGTGTCTGTGTGTCTGTGTGTGTGTCTGTGTGTGTGTCTGTGTGTGTGTGTGTCTGTGTGTGTGTCTGTGTGTCTGTGTGTGTGTCTGTGTGTGTGTGTCTGTGTGTGTGTCTGTGTGTGTGTCTGTGTGTCTGTGTGTGTGTCTGTGTGTGTGTCTGTGTGGGTGTCTGTGTGTGCGTCTGTGTCTGTGTGTGTGTCTGTGTGTGTGTCTGTGTGTTTATGTGTCTGTGTGTTTATGTGTCTGTGTGTGTGTCTGTGTGTCTGTGTGTGTGTCTGTGTGTGTGTCTGTGTGTGTGTCTGTGTGTGTGTCTGTGCGTGTACCTGTTGATCGGAGATGCTGTGGCTGGGCGCAGACACCGACACAGACAGACAGACACAGACAGACAGACAGACACACACAGAGACAGACAGACAGACACAGACAGACGCCGCCTCCGTCTCCTGCTGTCGAGTAAACGAAACAAGGAAGAGTTCATCTCCCTGACCCAGCCCATACACCCCCCCCCCTCACCCCCCCCCCTCACCCCCCACCTCACCCCCCCCCTCACCTCACCCCCCCCCTCACCTCACCTCACCCCCCCCCCTCACCCCTCCCCCCTCACCCCCCACCTCACCCCCCCCCTCACCTCACCCCCCCCTCCCCCTCACCCCGCTACCTGTTCCGAGAGCCCAGACGGTGACTTCTCAAAAGTGACGTCATGCACGGGCGTGACGTCACTTGTTAAACTGTTACATCACATTTCGATTTGAAGCTTTCGTGACTGCAGCAGGGATTCATCTTCTTGGTTCTTTCGGTAAAGTCACGTAGAAGGGAAGTAATAAAATAATGATAGAGACCCACAATCATAGAGACCCACACTCATAGAGACCCACACTCACAGAGACCCACACCCATAGAGACCCACACTCATAGAGACCCTCACTCACAGAGACCCACACCCATAGAGACCCACACTCATAGAGACCCACACTCATAGAGACCCTCACTCACAGAGACCCACACTCACAGAGACCCTCACTCATAGAGACCCTCACTCACAGAGACCCACACTCACAGAGACCCACACTCACAGAGACCCATACTCACAGAGACCCACACTCATAGAGACCCACACACACAGAGACCCACACTCACAGAGACCCACACTCACAGAGACCCACACTCACAGAGACCCATACTCACAGAGACCCACACTCATAGAGACCCACACTCATAGAGACCCACACTCACAGAGACCCACACTCACAGAGACCCACCTCACAGAGACCACACTCACAGAGACCCACACTCATAGAGACCCATACTCACAGAGACCCACACTCACAGAGACCCTCACTCACAGAGACCCATACTCACAGAGACCCACACTCACAGAGACCCTCACTCACAGAGACCCACACTCACAGAGACCCTCACTCACAGAGACCCACACTCATAGAGACCCACACTCACAGAGACCCATACTCACAGAGACCCACACTCACAGAGACCCACACTCACAGAGACCCACACTCATAGAGACCCACAGAGACCCACACTCACAGAGACCCACACTCACAGAGACCCACACTCACAGAGACCCACACTCACAGAGACCCACACTCACAGAAACCCACACTCATAGAGACCCACACTCACAGAGACCCACACTCACAGAGACCCACACTCACAGAGACCCACAATCACAGAGACCCACACTCACAGAGACCCACACTCACGAGACCCACACTCACAGAGATCCACACTCACAGAGACCCACACTCACAGAGACCCACACTCACAGAGACCCACACTCACAGAGACCCACACTCACAGAGACCCACACCCATAGAGACCCACACTCATAGAGACCCACACTCACAGAGACCCACACTCACAGAGACCCTCACTCATAGAGACCCACACTCACAGAGACCCACACTCACAGAGACCCACACCCATAGAGACCCACACTCATAGAGACCCACACTCACAGAGACCCACACTCACAGAGACCCTCACTCATAGAGACCCACACTCACAGAGACCCACACTCACAGAGACCCTCACTCATAGAGACCCACACTCACAGAGACCCACACTCACAGAGACCCTCACTCATAGAGACCCACACTCACAGAGACCCACACTCACAGAGACCCACACTCACAGAGACCCACACTCACAGAGACCCACACTCATAGAGACCCACAGAGACCCACACTCACAGAGACCCACACTCACAGAGACCCACACTCACAGAGACCCACACTCACAGAGACCCACACTCACAGAGACCCACACTCATAGAGACCAACAGAGACCCACACTCACAGAGACCCACACTCACAGAGACCCACACTCACAGAGACCCCCACTCACAGAGACCCACACTCCACGAGACCCACACTCACAGAGACCCACACCCATAGAGACCCACACTCATAGAGACCCACACTCACAGAGACCCACACTCACAGAGACCCTCACTCATAGAGACCCACACTCACAGAGACCCACACTCACAGAGACCCTCACTCATAGAGACCCACACTCACAGAGACCCACACTCACAGAGACCCTCACTCATAGAGACCCACACTCACAGAGACCCCACACTCACAGAGACCCCACACTCACAGAGACCCACACTCACAGAGACCCACACTCATAGAGACCCACAGAGACCCACACTCACAGAGACCCACACTCACAGAGACCCACACTCCAGAGACCCCACTCACAGAGACCCACACTCATAGAGACCCACAGAGACCCAACTCACAGAGACCCACACTCACAGAGACCCACACTCACAGAGACCCACACTCACAGAGACCCACACTCACAGAGACCCACATTCATAGAGACCCACAGAGACCCACACTCACAGAGACCCACACTCACAGAGACCCACACTCACAGAGACCCACACTCACAGAGACCCACACTCACAGAGACCCACACTCATAGAGACCCACAGAGACCCACACTCACAGAGACCCACACTCACAGAGACCCACACTCACAGAGACCCCACATCACAGAGACCCTCACTCACAGAGACCCACACTCACAGAGACCCACCACTCACAGAGACCCACACTCACAGAGACCCACAATCACAGAGACCCACACACACAGAGACCCACACTCACAGAGACCCACATTCACAGAGACCCACACTCACAGAGACCCACACTCATAGAGACCCACACTCACAGGACCCCACACTCACAGAGACCCCACACACACAGAGACCCACCACACAGAGACCCACACTCATAGAGACCCACACTCACAGAGACCCACACTCACAGAGGACCCACACTCATAGAGACCCACACTCACAGAGACCCACACTCACAGAGACCCACACTCACAGAGACCCACACTCACAGAGACCCACACTCACAGAGACCCACAGAGACCCACACTCACAGAGACCCACACTCATAGAGACCCACAGAGACCCACACTCACAGAGACCCACACTCATAGAGACCCACACTCATAGAGACCCACACTCACAGAGACCCACACTCACAGAGACCCACACTCACAGAGACCCACACTCACAGAGACCCTCCCTCATAGAGACCCACACTCACAGAGACCCACACTCACAGAGACCCTCACTCACAGAGACCCACACTCACAGAGACCCCACTCACAGAGGACCCTCACTCACAGAGACCCACACTCACAGAGACCCACACTCACAGAGACCCACACTCACAGAGGACCCACACACACAGAGACCCACACTCACAGAGACCCACACTCACAGAGACCCACACTCACAGAGACCCACACTCATAGAGACCCACACTCACAGAGACCCACACTCACAGAGACCCACACACACAGAGACCCACACACAGAGACCCACACTCATAGAGACCCACACTCACAGAGACCCACACTCATAGAGACCCACACTCACAGAGACCCACACTCACAGAGACCCACACTCACAGAGACCCACACTCATAGAGACCAACACTCACAGAGACCCACACTCATAGAGACCCACACTCACAGAGACCCACACTCACAGAGACCCACACTCACAGAGACCCACACTCATAGAGACCCACACTCACAGAGACCCACATTGACAGAGACCCACACTCACAGAGACCCACACTCACAGAGACCCACACTCACAGAGACCCACACTCACAGAGACCCACAGAGACCCACACTCACAGAGACCCACACTCACAGAGACCCACACTCATAGAGACCCACACTCACAGAGACCCACACTCACAGAGACCCACACTCACAGAGACCCACACTCATAGAGACCCACACTCACAGAGACCCACACTCACAGAGACCCACACTCACAGAGACCCACACTCACAGAGACCCACACTCACAGAGACCCACACTCACAGAGACCCACAGAGACCCACACTCACAGAGACCCACACTCATAGAGACCCACAGAGACCCACACTCACAGAGACCCACACTCACAGAGACCCACACTCACAGAGACCCACACACAGAGACCCACACTCACAGAGACCCACACTCACAGAGACCCACACCCACAGAGACCCACACTCATAGAGACCCACACTCACAGAGACCCACACTCACAGAGACCCACACTCATAGAGACCCACACACAGAGACCCACACTCACAGAGACCCACACTCACAGAGACCCACACTCACAGAGACCCACACCCACAGAGACCCACACTCATAGAGACCCACACTCACAGAGACCCACACCCACAGAGACCCACACTCACAGAGACCCACACACAGAGACCCACACTCACAGAGACCCACACTCACAGAGACCCACACTCACAGAGACCCACACCCACAGAGACCCACACTCATAGAGACCCACACTCACAGAGACCCACACCCACAGAGACCCACACTCATAGAGACCCACACTCATAGAGACCCACACTCACAGAGACCCACACTCACAGAGACCCACACTCACAGAGACCCACACTCACAGAGACCCACACTCACAGAGACCCACACTCACAGAGACCCACACACACAGAGACCCCACACACAGAGACCCACACTCACAGAGACCCACACTCACAGAGACCCACACTCACAGAGACCCACACTCACAGAGACCCACACTCACAGAGACCCACACTCACAGAGACCCACACTCACAGAGACCCACACTCACAGAGACCCACACTCACAGAGACCCACACTCACAGAGACCCACACTCACAGAGACCCACACTCACAGAGACCCACACTCACAGAGACCCACACTCACAGAGACCCACACTCACAGAGACCCACACTCACAGAGACCCTCACTCACAGAGACCCACACCCACAGAGACCCACACTCATAGAGACCCACACCCACAGAGACCCACACTCACAGAGACCCACACTCACAGAGACCCACACTCACAGAGATCCACACTCACAGAGACCCACACCCACAGAGACCCACACTCACAGAGACCCACACTCACAGAGATCCACACTCACAGAGACCCACACTCACAGAGACCCACACTCACAGAGACCCACACTCACAGGAGACCCACACCCACAGAAGACCCTCACTCACAGAGACCCACCCCCACAAAACCCCACACCCACAGAGACCCACACTCACAGAGACCCACACTCACAGAGACCACACTCATAGAGACCCACACTCACAGAGACCCACACTCACAGAGACCCACAGATGACCCACACTCACAGAGACCCACACTCACAGAGACCCACACTCACAGAGACCCACACTCACAGAGACCCACACACACAGAGACCCCAACACACAGAGACCCACACACACAGAGACCCACACACACAGAGACCCACACACACAGAGACCCACACTCACAGAGACCCACACACACAGAGACCCCACACTCACAGGACCCACACTCACAGAGACCCACACTCACAGAGACCCACACTCACAGAGACCCACACTCACAGAGACCACACTCACAGAGACCCACACTCACAGAGACCCACACTCACAGAGACCCACACTCACAGAGACCCACACTCACAGAGACCCCACACTCACAGAGACCCACACTCACAGAGACCCACACTCACAGAGACCCACACACACAGAGACCCACACACACAGAGACCCACACACACAGAGACCCACACACACAGAGACCCACACACACAGAGACCCACACTCACAGAGACCCACACTCACAGAGACCCACACTCACAGAGACCCACACTCACAGAGACCCACACTCACAGAGACCCACACTCACAGAGACCCACACTCACAGAGACCCACACACACAGAGACCCACACACACAGAGACCCACACACACAGAGACCCACACAACACACAGAGACCCACACACACAGAGACCCACACTCACAGAGACCCACACTCACAGAGACCCACACTCACAGAGACCCACACACACACCCACCACAGAGACCCACACACACAGAGACCCACACACACAGAGACCCACACACACAGAGACCCACACTCACAGAGACCCACACTCACAGAGACCCACACTCACAGAGACCCACACTCACAGAGACCCACACTCACAGAGACCCACACTCATAGAGACCCACACTCACAGAGACCCACACACACAGAGACCCACACACACAGAGACCCACACTCACAGAGACCCACACTCACAGAGACCCACACTCACAGAGACCCACACTCACAGAAACCCACACTCATAGAGACCCACACTCATAGAGACCCACACTCACAGAGACCCACACACACAGAGACCCACACACACAGAGACCCACACACACAGAAACCCACACTCATAGAGACCCACACTCATAGAGACCCACACTCACAGAGACCCACACTCACAGAGACCCACACTCACAGAGACCCACACTCACAGAGACCCACACTCACAGAAACCCACACTCATAGAGACCCACACTCATAGAGACCCACACTCACAGAGACCCACACACACAGAGACCCACACACACAGAGACCCACACACACAGAAACCCACACTCATAGAGACCCACACTCATAGAGACCCACACTCACAGAGACCCACACTCACAGAGACCCACACTCACAGAGACCCACACTCACAGAGACCCACACACACAGAGACCCACACTCACAGAGACCCACACTCACAGAGACCCTCACTCACAGAGACCCACACTCACAGAGACCCACACTCACAGAGACCCACACTCACAGAGACCCACACTCACAGAGACCCACACTCACAGAGACCCACACTCACAGAGACCCACACTCACAGAGACCCACACTCATAGAGACCCACACTCACAGAGACCCACACTCACAGAGACCCACACTCATAGAGACCCACACTCACAGAGACCCACACTCATAGAGACCCACACTCATAGAGACCCACACTCACAGAGACCCACACTCACAGAGACCCACACTCACAGAGACCCTCACTCACAGAGACCCACACTCACAGAGACCCACACACACAGAGACCCACACTCACAGAGACCCACACTCACAGAGACCCACACTCACAGAGACCCACAGAGACCCACACTCACAGAGACCCTCACTCACAGAGACCCACACTCACAGAGACCCACACTCACAGAGACCCACACTCACAGAGACCCACACTCACAGAGACCCACACTCACAGAGACCCACAGAGACCCTCACTCACAGAGACCCACACTCACAGAGACCCACACTCACAGAGACCCACACTCACAGAGACCCACACTCACAGAGACCCACACTCACAGAGACCCACACTCACAGAGACCCACCACTCACAGAGACCCACAGAGACCCTCACTCACAGAGACCCACACTCACAGAGACCCACACTCACAGAGACCCACACTCACAGAGACCCACACTCACAGAGACCCACACTCACAGAGACCCACACTCACAGAGACCCACACTCACAGAGACCCACACTCATGAGACCCACACACACAGAGACCACACTCACAGAGACCCACACTCACAGAGACCCACACACACAGAGACCCACACTCACAGAGACCCACACTCACAGAGACCCACACTCACAGAGACCCACACTCACAGAGACCCACACACACAGAGACCCACACTCACAGAGACCCACACTCACAGAGACCCACACTCACAGAGACCACACTCACAGAGACCCACACACACAGAGACCCACACTCACAGAGACCCACACTCACAGAGACCCACAGAGACCCACACACACAGAGACCCACACTCATAGAGACCCACACTCACAGAGACCCACACCCACAGAGACCCACACTCACAGAGACCCACACTCATAGAGACCCACACTCACAGAGACCCACACCCACAGAGACCCACACTCACAGAGACCCACACTCACAGAGACCCACACCCACAGAGACCCACACGCACAGAGACCCACACTCACAGAGACCCACACTCACAGAGACCCACAGAGACCCACACACACAGAGACCCACACTCATAGAGACCCACACTCACAGAGACCCACACCCACAGAGACCCACACTCACAGAGACCCACACTCACAGAGACCCACACTCACAGAGACCCACACCCACAGAGACCCACACTCACAGAGACCCACACTCACAGAGACCCACACTCACAGAGACCCACACTCACAGAGACCCACACTCACAGAGACCCACACCCACAGAGACCCACACTCACAGAGACCCACACTCACAGAGACCCACACTCACAGAGACCCACAGAGACCCACACTCTCCCCTCTCCCCCCACTCCCCCCACTCTCTTGTTTTTTACGATCAGTGGAAACAAGAAGATGCTGGTGTATTCGGCACTTTGCTTCGTTCATCATTTCGTAATTTTTGTTTAATTTTCACTCACCCCCCCTCCCTCATCCCCCCCTCTCCCCCTCCCTCCCCCTTCCCCCCTTCCCCTCCTCCCCCCTCCCCTCTCCCCCCCTCCCCTCTCCTCTCCCCCCCTCCCTCCCCTCCCTCCCCCCTCCCCTCCCTCCCTCCTCCCCTCTCCCCTCCCCCCCCTTCCCCCCTCTCCCCTCCCCCCCTCCCCCCCCTCCCCCCTCACCTCCCTCCCCTCCCCCCCTCTCCCCTCCCCCCCTCCCCCCCTCACCCTCCCTCCCCTCCCCCCCCTCTCCCCTCCCCCCTCCCCCCCCCTCACCTCCCTCCCCTCCCCCCCCTCCCCCCTCCCCCCAGTGAGTGTCCCCAGCAGCTCCAGGAAGTCGTCAATCACCGCCACGCGATCAGCATCGTGCACTGTGACCTCAAGCTCGCACAGCCACGTGACCTGCACTACAGCCCCGCCCCCTCCACTATAGCCACGCCCACATCCAACATTTTAGCACCGCCCCCTCCACTCTAGCCCCGCCCCCTCCACTCTAGCCACGCCCACTTTCACCATTGTAGCCACGCCCACTTTCACCATTGTAGCCACGCCCCCCCCCCCACTCTAGCCACGCCCACTTTCACCATTGTAGCCTCGCCCACTTTCACCATTGTAGCCACGCCCCCCCCCCACTCTAGCCCTGCCCCCTCCACTCTAGCCCCGCCCACATCCCCCACTCTAGCCCCGCCCCCTCCACTCTAGCCACGCCCACTTCCAACATTGTAGCCCCGCCCCCTCCACTCTAGCCACGCCCACTTCCAACATTGTAGCCCCGGCCCCTCCACTCTAGCCACGCCCACTTCCAACATTGTAGCCCACGCCCCCTCCACTCTAGCCACGCCCCCACTCTAGCCCCGCCCACTTCCCCGTAGCCCCGCCCCCTCTACTCTAGCCACGCCCCCTCCACTATAGCCACGCCCCCACTATAGCCCCGCCCACTTCCCCCCTAGCCCCGCACCCTCCACTCTAGCCCCGCCCCCTCCACTCTAGCCACGCCCCCACTCTAGCCCCGCCCACTTCCCCCCTAGCCCCGCCCCCTCTACTCTAGCCCCGCCCCCTCCACTCTAGCCCCGCCCCCACTCTAGCTCCGCCTACTTCCCCCCTAGCCCCGCCCCCTCCACTCTAGCCACGCCCCCTCCACTCTAGCCACGCCCACTTCCCCCCCGCCCCCCGCTAGCCCCGCCCCCCGCCGGCCTGCGCGCCTCTCGAGGCGGGAGGAGTTCAGCGTGAACACGGCAGAGACCCGCTCAGTCAGTGGCATCATCATCATCAGCAACATCATCATCAGCAGCATCATCATCATCAGCAACATCATCAGCAGCAGCATCATCATCAGCAGCAGCAGCAGCAGAGACCCGCGCAGTCAGTGGCACTCCGCTCACCATCATCAGCATCATCATCATCAGCAGCATCACCATCATCATCAACATCATCATCAACATCAACAACATCATCATCATCAGCAGCATCATCAGCAGCAGCAGCAGAGACCCGCGCAGTCAGTGGCACTCCGCTCACCATCATCAGCATCATCATCATCAGCAGCATCACCATCATCATCAACATCATCATCAACATCAACAACATCATCATCATCAGCAGCAGCAGCTCAGTCAGTGGCACTCCGCTCACCATCATCATCATCATCACCATCATCAGCATCAGCAGCATCAGCAGCATCATCATCACCATCATCAGCATCAGCAGCAGCATCAGCAGCATCATCATCAGCAGCAGCAGCATCATCATCAGCAGCAGCATCAGCAGCATCATCAGCAGCAGCAGCATCATCATCAGCAGCAGCAGCATCATCATCAGCAGCAGCATCAGCAGCATCATCATCAGCAGCAGCAGCAGCAGCATCATCATCAGCAGCATCATCATCAGCATCAACTTCACCACCATCATCATCAGCAGCATCATCACCAACTACACCTTCAACAAGGCCCAATCATTTACTTTCATAATTTCCCAACATTAGCAGCCTGAGTAACAACAACAACCACCCTCTGTGCCCCGTGTCTCTGACTCACCCACTCACTCACTCAATCACTCACTCACCCACTCAGCCATTCACTCACCCACTCACTCACTCACCCACTCACCCACTCACTCACCCACTCACTCACCCACTCACTCACCCACTCACTCAGCCATTCACTCACCCACTCACCCACTCACTCAGCCACTCACTCAGCCACTCACCCACTCACCCACTCAGCCACTCACCCACTCACTCAGCCACTCACTCAGCCACTCACTCAGCCACTCACCCACTCACTCAGCCATTCACTCACCCACTCACTCAGCCACTCACTCAGTCACTCACCCACTCACTCAGCCACTCACTCAGCCACTCACCCACTCACTCACTCACCCACTCACTCAGCCACTCACTCAGCCACTCACCCACCCACTCACCCACCCACCCACTCACTCACCCACCCACTCACTCACCCACCCATCCACTCACCCACCCACTCACCCATCCACTCACCCATCCACTCACCCACCCACTCACCCACTCAGCCACTCACTCACCCACTCACTCACTCACCCACTCACTCAGCCACTCACTCAGCCACTCACCCACCCACCCACCCACTCACTCACCCACCCCACCCACTCACTCACCCACTCACTCACCCACCCACCCACCCACTCACCCACCCACTCACCCATCCACTCACCCACCCACTCACCCACTCAGCCACTCACTCACCCACTCACTCACTCACCCACTCACTCAGCCACTCACTCAGCCACTCACCCACCCACCCACCCACTCACTCACCCACCCACTCACTCACCCACCCACCCACTCACCCACTCACTCACCCACCCACCCACTCACCACCCCACTCACCCATCCACTCACCCACCCACTCACCCACTCAGCCACTCACTCACCCACTCACTCACTCACCCACTCACTCAGCCACTCACTCAGCCACTCACCCACCCACCCACCCACTCACTCACCCACCCACTCACTCACCCACCCACCCACCCACTCACTCACCCACTCACTCACTCACTCACCCACCCACCCACTCACCCACTCACTCACCCACCCGCCCCACTCACCCACCCACCCACTCACCCATCCACTCACCCCACCCACTCACCCACCCACTCACCCATCCACTCACCCACCCACTCACCCACTCACCCACTCACTCACCCCACCCACTCACTCACCCCACCCACCCACTCACCCACCCACCCACTCACCCACCCACTCACCCACCCACTCACCCACCCACTCACTCACCCACCCACCCACTCACCCATCCACTCACCCACCCACTCACCCACCCACTCACCCATCGACTCACCCACCCACTCACCCACCCACTCACCCATCCACTCACCCACCCACTCACCCACCCACTCACCCACTCACCCACCCACTCACCCATCCACTCACCCACTCGCTTACTGATAATGATGGCAATGATGATGATGATGGTGTTGATGGTGGTGGTGATGATGATGGTGGTGATGGTGTGTGATGTTGATGGTGATGATGATGGTGGTGTTGATGGTGGTGGTGATGATGATGGTGGTGATGTTGGTGTGTGATGTTGATGGTGATGATGATGGTGGTGTTGATGGTGGTGGTGATGATGATGGTGGTGATGATGGTGGTGGTGATGATGATGGTGGTGATGTTGGTGTGTGATGTTGATGGTGATGATGATGGTGGTGTTGATGGTGGTGGTGATGATGATGGTGGTGATGATGGTGGTGGTGATGATGATGGTGGTGATGTTGGTGTGTGATGTTGATGGTGATGATGATGGTGGTGTTGATGGTGGTGGTGATGATGATGGTGGTGATGATGGTGGTGGTGATGATGATGGTGGTGATGTTGGTGTGTGATGTTGATGGTGATGATGATGGTGGTGTTGATGGTGGTGGTGATGATGATGGTGGTGATGATGATGATGGTGATGATGATGGTGGTGATGTTGGTGTGTGATGTTGATGGTGATGATGATGGTGGTGATGATGATGGTGGTGATGATGATGGTGGTGATGATGGTGGTGGTGATGATGATGGTGGTGATGTTGGTGTGTGATGTTGATGGTGATGATGATGGTGGTGTTGATGGTGGTGGTGATGATGATGGTGGTGATGTTGGTGTGTGATGTTGATGTGTGATGTTGATGGTGATGATGGTGATGATGATGGTGATGATGGTGTTGTTGTGTGATGGTGGTGGTGGTGATGATGTTGTGTTGTTGATGATGGTGTTGTTGATGTTGATGATGATGGTGGTGATGATGATGATGTTGTTGATGTTGTTGTTGTTGATGATGTTGATGATGATGATGTTGATGTTGTTGTTGATGATGTTGATGATGTTGTTGATGATGTTGTTGATGTTGATGTTGATGATGTTGATGTTGTTGATGTTGATGATGTTGTTGTTGTTGTTGATGTTGTTGATGATGATGTTGTTGATGTTGATGATGTTGTTGATGATGTTGTTGATGTTGATGTTGATGATGTTGATGTTGTTGATGTTGATGATGTTGTTGTTGATGTTGTTGTTGTTGATGTTGATGATGTTGATGTTGTTGTTGTTGATGTTGTTGTTGTTGATGTTGATGATGTTGTTGTTGATGTTGTTGTTGTTGATGTTATTGTTGTTGATGTTGATGATGTTGATGTTGATGTTGTTGTTGTTGATGTTGATGATGTTGTTGTTGATGTTATTGTTGTTGATGTTGATGATGTTGTTGTTGATGTTGTTGTTGTTGATGTTGATGTTGTTGATGTTGATGTTATTGTTGTTGATGTTGATGATGTTGTTGTTGTTGTTATTGTTGTTGATGTTGATGATGTTGTTGATGTTGTTGATGTTGTTGTTGTTGTTGATGTCGCAGGGCGCTCTCCTCACCACGACACTGGCCACGAGAAACTTTTCTGGTGAGTTCACTACTGTACTGTACTACTGTACTACTGTACAACTACTGTACCACTGTACCACCACTGTACTACTGTACCACTACTGTACTGTACTGCAGTACCACTACTGTACTACTGTGCCACTACTGCACTGTACTACAGTACCACTACTGTACAGCATTACTGTACCACTACTGTACTACTGTATCACTACTGTACAGCATTACTGTACCACTACTGTACTACTGTATCACTACTGTACAGCACTACTGCACTGTACTACTACAGTACGGGTACAGTGCCAGTACAGTTTTGCACAGTACTAATACACTAGTACAGTACTCGCTGTAGTACTACACAGACAAAGCTCCCCCAGGTAGCCTCTAGCAGGGCTGTAGGGGCAAGTGCTGTTACACACACAGACAAAGCTACCCCAGGTAGCCTCTAGCTGGGCTGTAGGGGCAAGTGCTGTTACACACACACAGACAAAGCTACCCCAGGTAGCCTCTAGCAGGGCTGTAGGGGCAAGTGCTGTTACACACACAGACAAAGATCCCCCAGGTAGCCTCTAGCAGGGCTGTAGGGGCAAGTGCTGTTACACACACAGACAAAGCTACCCCAGGTAGCCTCTAGCAGGGCTGTAGGGGCAAGTGCTGTTACACACACAGACAAAGATCCCCCAGGTAGCCTCTAGCAGGGCTGTAGGGGCAAGTGCTGTTACACACACAGACAAAGCTACCCCAGGTAGCCTCTAGCAGGGCTGCAGGGGCAAGTGCTGTAAACACACAGACAAAGATCTCCCAGGTAGCCTCTAGCAGGGCTGTAGGGGCAAGTGCTGTTACACACACACAGTGCGTTAACCACTGCACCACCACTCCTTTCGAGTGGTGGTGCAGTGGTTCACGGTGTGATGATGATGGTGGTGGTGGTGGTGATGATGGTGGTGATGGTGGTGGTGGTGGTGATGATGGTGATGATGGTGGTGGTGGTGAAGGTGATGGTGGTGATGATGGTGGTGGTGGTGATGATGGTGATGGTGATGATGGTGGTGATGATGGTGATGATGGTGGTGATGGTGGTGGTGATGATGGTGGTGATGATGGTGATGGTGGTGATGGTGATGGTGGTGATGATGGTGATGGTGGTGATGGTGGTGATGGTGGTGGTGGTGATGGTGGTGGTGATGATGGTGGTGATGGTGGTGATGGTGATGGTGGTGATGGTGGTGATGGTGGTGGTGGTGGTGATGATGATGGTGGTGATGGTGGTGGTGGTGATGGTGGTGATGGTGGTGATGATGATGATGTATTGTGTGATGGTGGTGATGTTGTGTGATGTAGTGTCCACGATGAATAGGAAGACTGATGGAGTGAAGGTGAAACATCACCATCACCACCACCATCACACACCACCACCATCACCATCATCATCACCACCATCATCACCACCATCACCACCACCATCACCACCACCATCACCACCACCACCATCACCACCACCATCACCACCACCATCACCACCACCACCATCACCACCATCACCACCACCACCATCACCACCATCATCACCACCACCACCATCACCACCACCACCATCACCACCACCACCACCATCATCACCACCATCACCATCACCACCACCACCATCACCACCACCACCACCATCACCACCATCATCACCACCATCACCATCACCACCACCACCATCACCACCACCACCATCACCACCATCATCACCACCACCACCATCACCACCACCACCATCACCACCACCATCACCACCATCACCACCACCATCATCACCACCACCACCATCACCATCACCACCACCACCATCACCACCATCACCACCATCATCACCACCATCACCACATCACCATCACCACCACCACCATCACCACCACCATCACCACCATCATCACCACCACCACCATCACCACCACCACCATCACCACCACCATCACCACCATCACCACCACCATCACCACCACGACCACCATCATCACCATCATCACCACCATCAACACCACCACCATTACCATCATCACCACCATCATCACCACCATCACCACCATCATCATCACCACCATCACCATCATCACCATCATCATCACCATCATCATCATCATCACCACCATCATCATCACGATCATCACCACCATCACCATCACCACCATCACCATCATCACCATCATCACCACCATCACCACCACGACCACCATCATCACCATCATCACCACCATCAACACCACCACCATCACCATCATCACCACCATCATCACCACCATCATCACCACCATCACCACCACCATCATCACCATCACCACCACCATCACCACCATCACCATCATCACCACCATCATCACCACCATCATCACCACCATCACCACCACCATCACCACCATCATCACCACCACCATCACCACCACCATCACCACCACGACCACCATCATCACCATCAT